ATTTAGCAGATGAGATGAGAGACAGACAGGACAACCGATGTATAGTGGGGAATGGGATGGAAGTGCATGCGTAAGGTACTAGGTGATGGTGGTGTGGTGTTCATGATGTATATGTCTGACTGACTAATCACTGATATATAAGTGTATAAACCAGTGACATGATATGATATGATGATATGATGAATATATAGTTTATGAGTAGGCAGTGTGCAGTGTGCAGTGTGCAGTGGAACCTACAGTTTTGAGTTCATGAGCTACCAAATAGTACAAGTACCACCAACGACAGCCTACAGGGCTACAGCGCTACACCTACAGATACAAGGAGGAAAGATATGTATGTATTCATCGTCAACTATGTCGAATCTCATAATCATGTATGTCCACACTCAAAATTAACCACATTCACGCGATTATTCTAAACCCTTCGGTCCAATTCATCACGTCCACACACGTACTCATTCCAGACTAGCTACTTTGTTTGAATCCACAAAGATTCCCTGAGAAAGCGATCTGCCACTGCCTCGCCTATGCCACACAACCCAATAACAAAACTCACGCTTTAATTTGCTTTTCTTTCTCCTTTTATGCACTCACACGATCACATTATCTCAAATGTAAGAATAATTATTATTCTTAACCAATTCAGTTACAAGTCTCTAATCGCTGACTATTTCATACTATATACATATATAAATATATATATATGTGTGTGTGTAAAGAAAAAAAGAATTTGAATAATTGAGATTGCCAGGTAGCTAGAATTTTCTTCTGGAGGGGAAGAGCAGATTTTGACAACATGTACGATGATGGGAGAGCTTTTTGGACCGACAACGCATAAACTGATGAATGGGAGAATAAAGAGTGGTGGTCCACTACTTGACTTTACAGGTTGATGAAAGAGAGGAACTTAGTAAGAATCAAAAGAAAATAAAAATATCGAGCAAAAGGCAAAAGCGATCCACGGAGCAATCAGAATATCTTTTTAAGTCACTGGTTGCACAAGAACAAAAACAAAATGGGCAGCAGCATGCAGCAGAATATAAATAGCCAATGGCCCTCTCGAATGGAATCACCAAACCAACTCGATCTTCTCAATATCAAATCCAACTAGTTCTTTGGATACTTTGTGTTTGAGTTTCAGTTTCAGTTTGAGCTTCGTGTATATATATATATATATATATATATATTTATTCGTCAAAAGATAAAAAGAAAGAAAGAAAGGAAGAAAATGCCTAGGGACAGGGACCCGCTTGTTGTTGGAAGAGTGGTAGGTGATGTTTTAGACCCGTTTACAAGGTCTGTTTCTCTCAGGGTCACTTACGGTATGAAGGAGGTTAACAATGGTTGCGAGCTCAAACCTTCCCAAGTTGTCCAACAACCTAGAGTTGATACTGGTGGGGATGATCTTAGGACTTTCTACACTCTGGTAAGTAAAGTAATTAACGTTTAATATACTATTACTTCTTTCTTATAATTAGCTCTCTCCATCTACTTTCTTCCACTCCATCTTATTTTGCATGATTAAGTGCATACGTATGGGGTCGGTCAATCCATCCTCTTGCTTGCATGCTTTTTTTTTTATCAACTCTCCAGTACATATGATACATTAATTCATTGTTGCAGGTCATGGTGGATCCTGATGCACCCAGCCCAAGTGACCCCAACCTAAAGGAATATTTGCATTGGTGTGTATTATTTGTAGCTTCTCTCTCCCAAGGAATAAAGACTGTCTCTCTCTCTCTCTCTTTCTCTCTCCCTCTTTTCCATAGAAATTTGTCCTGTCCCAGCTATATCGATTGACTATATCTTCCCCCTTTGGCTTAAGCAATTTGCCATCAAAGTTGAGGTTTCAAGCTCAAATCTTCGTGCCTTTTTCAACCAAATATATATTGGGGAAAGAGTATATATAGACGAAGAAGGATTTGCTTAGGAAAAAGAAGAATGTTCATTCATTCATTCCTGGTTATTTTCGGAATATCAGTTAAATGTTGGTCTTATACTTCTGATTGTGCCAACTTTTCAGGTTGGTTACGGATATACCAGCAACAACTGCGGCAAGCTTTGGTAAGTAGTTTCTATTATATTATAGTTAGAGTAATGCTAGACTTACCAAATTTTTATATCACACTGTGTATCACCTCTCAAATAGAGATGGAGCTCACCAATACAATAGGGCTCACCTTTATTAGATATGTGATACATAATGTGGTATAAAAATGTGATAAATCTAATATTTTCCTTCTAGTTATTGGGCTTTTTTTCTTGGTTTGGGGGGAGGCGGAGGAATACTTCTCTTCTCATACATTCCTGCCAATAGTAATGTGACATATGTGCATAAAATTTTCAGAGAAATGTTCAATTGGGCTAGTCTACAGAAGGCATAATTAATTAACATTTGATTATATTTTTGGATGCATGACCAATTTATAATGAAACCCCATGTACGTACATTTATTGATGTAGGGCAAGAGATTGTGTGTTATGAAAGCCCACGGCCAACGGTGGGGATTCATCGCTTTGTTTTGGTGTTGTTTCGGCAATTGGGTAGGCAAACAGTGTATGCTCCAGGGTGGCGCCAGAACTTTAATACCAGAGACTTTGCGGAGCTTTACAATCTTGGATTACCGGTAGCTGCCGTCTATTTTAACTGCCAAAGGGAGAGCGGCTCCGGAGGAAGGAGAAGATAATTAAGTTTGATATTATTAAGCGTGTCATACGTGTAATATTATTAAGGAAGCTAGTTAATTTATATATAACGTGGAAACTAATAATAATTTAGCCAGCTAGTGGTAATCAATCTCCTACTAGCTAGCTAGTCCATGCCATGGCACTAAGTCACTAGGGCACTAGGGCACCAGGGCACCAGGGCACAGCATGTTGTATGCTTGTTTTGAGATGAGACTACACCTACGTACGTCTCCACTTTCCAATTAACAAGACTAGCTATATATTTAATAATTCAGTAAATGTCAAAGTTCTCTTCTTTCGGTCTAAGGGGATGTCGACTCATTATCTATCTATATATATAAAGCAAATGGTAGAAAATGATGAAACATTCAAAATACTATAAAATGTCATTCGTTAATTCAAACATTAAGAATTAAAATTATTAATTAAATGAGAATAATATATAAATTCACATTTTTTTCATATTCAAAAAATTAAAATTAAAAACAAAATCAAATAATAGGTCTTACTTTTATAGAACATAACTACCCATGTTATTTTTTATTAATTCTAAAAATAAAATAAAAAATAAAACCAATTGGCTCACGCATGTGCATGCGTGAGCATGTGCTAAGGAACTAATACTTATAAATACGAAGTGTGCGGGTGTAATTGTCGATCAAATATTCATAATATATTATATTTGCCATATATATTATAGAGATCAATTCAATTGTCGAATGATGAATTATTATGTACTTTCCATTCCATGCATGTAACATGTTGTCGTCTAGTGCTGCTCAGATGACATCGCGGTCAGCTCATGCATCATTTGTGCCAAATTCTGCACTATAATTCCCACTAATTCTCACATCCCATGAGTTTGACTAACACCAACAAAATAATTTTTTTTTTTGTCATACCTAGCTAATAATAAACACACGCAATTACGAATCTAGCAAATTATTTGAAAAATAATTTTTTATTTAGACAATAAATATATGTTTTTCAGTATGGCATTCCGTACTGTCTATATATGCTGTAAAAGAATCCATACAAAACAAATATCCTAGTTATACTCATTTCTTTTAAATTATTACTGAAAACTCAATTTAAAATAGGTTTCCATGTGAGATAGATTTTTCATAGTATTATTAACTAAATTACATTATATGCCACATACCTTCATATTTTATTTATAATTTAGTTTCAAGCATGTTATTAACTACATTAATTATAATTAATACTTCCTATTAATAGCATATCAATCACCTCATTTATTTTGCTTGCATTCCCTCTACACATCTCCAATCCCTAAAATTTCAAACAAACAAAAAATCCCTAAATTAGATATCCAATAAATAATGTAACTATAAAAAATATAAATATGTATATATAGGTATTTATTTTTTTTTATTTTTTTCCATTACAATTTTTTTTTTTTTTTTTTTTTTTTTTTTTTTTTTTTTTTTTTTTTTACTTTAGTAATTGTATTTTTTGGAAATTTATAAATAAATAATTATTTTTATATAAATTAAAATAAATTATTTATAAATTTATATTTATATTTTTTTTTTGTTAGAGAAATAGGTACGTTGTGTAATTGAAATTTCTGAAGTACGAAAAAATAAGTATATTATTCATTAAAAAAAGGGTGGAAAAAATAGGTACATTATTTTATTTTATTTTAAAACATTATAGGTATATTAAATGTTTCTTCATAATAGGCCCTAAACGTGAATTTTTTAGATACTGAATATTATATTTTTAAAAGAGAAAAAACTTACCCTAAAAATTCCTAAATTTAAGCCAATTTAAAAAACCATTTTTCTATCCAACAAAACACCATTTGAATATTACTGATATTGAATTGCAGCAAATATGTTCAAAGTATATTCAGCACAATCAATGGAGAAAACAACAATTGCAAATACGTAGGGGTATTTTGGGAATATAAAAATTACAATATATCATATTTTGAGCTTGGTAAGGTAACTTGATGAGGTGAATCCTAGTCATGAGTTTTTACTTATAAAAAATGGGTTTTAGTAATAGGAACAAAATGTAATGAATTGCAGTTAAGAAAAATTCAATTTGGAGGAGGTAAGCGAAATCTACTATTATATGTGTATTTGCTTCAAGAAGGCTTATATAGCATACAATACAATACCACAGGGTCGTTCTTCTCTTAAACTTTAACCTCCATCTTCGGAAAATCGTAATCCATAAACAATACCCAGCTAGTTACACGCATATAGATATGTTTCCATGCAACAGCATTTTATTTACAACATACATGTGTTTTCTTTATATATATATATATATATATATATTCAATCATCTAATAAGAACTTATGGAAGAGGGCTTGGAACTTTTGCATTTCCTTATGAGGAAGCGCCACCAAAATATTAACCCCAGCAGAACCAGCTCTTCCAGCCATAGTAGTAGTATTGGTAGGTGAGGTTGAGGATGAATATTCATGCATATCTTGTTGTTCAGGAAAGAGCAAAATGATATCCTTCCTGTGATATACAACGGGACAGCTGTACCTGGGTTTCCCCCAAGGATACTCCACGTCAGCAAAGCCCAATCTCCACCAGGATGAGACCAGCACCTCCCCGTGAGGAAAGCCCTTGTGTAGCTCTCCCCAGTCGATGACGGATCTTGCATACTCATCTGTCATCCTTGTTGCTCCCTCAGACACCATCTCCACCATTCTCGAGAAGGGCACTTCCTCCAGTTCCCTGCACTTGGCAGAAGCGTAGGCAGTCAGCACTGCATTCCCAGTGTAGGCTTTGGGTAGCGGAGGCTTCAGCCTCGGCCTTATGTCCACCGCATAAAGAATCCTTGATTCTCTACTACTACTACTACTACTTGCCGCCCTCTTGTAATTAACATCTTCATCATCGTCTGATGATGATGACGACGATAGTGCCTTGCACCGCCAAATGAAGGCCGTGACCACGTTAAAGCTACTACTAGCAGTGGTGGATTTCGCCTTGTCTTTCAGGCGAGCAACGTCGGTGGCAGTGAGCCGGAAGATGTTGAAGTCAAGCTCTTCTTGGGTGGCTTCAAACACTGTAGGGTTTAAGTCATCGAGGGTGGACATATTCTTGAGCTCTTGTAACTCAGGGTGGAGGAATGGGACATGGGGTGGGGATCGAGCAGCTAAGATGTGACGGTCATTGTAAGGAATGGCCACCAAGGGCTTGTTCGCAGCCACCGCAGCCAGATTGTCCAAGAACAGTCTGAAGCTTAAACCATCAACTGTTGTGTGGTTGTTTGATATGCCCATCGCAAATCCACCACACTTAAATGTTGTCACCTGTTCAATTCATAATTAATTAATTCTTCAATATAAGATCATCTCCAAGGGATATGTCAAATACTAAACATTAAATTTAAATTTGATGGCTGATGTGGCAATTTGACATTTACATAGTTTTACACTCCACCTGATATGTCAAATAAATAATTATTGTAATAATCAAATCATTTAAGATAAAGAAGAAAAAAAGAAAAAAAGAAAAAAAAATGAAAGTAACAGCCAGCTATCTTTTAAAAATAATAAAATATTCATTTGACATATTTCTTTTGGGATGTCAAAAATAACATCTCAACCTCCAGCCTTTATTCCATGTCGGCTTTGACACATCGGTTGGAGTGAAGTGAGATGTTATTTCTATCTGTTAAATGTTTATGTGGCACTTTTGACACATCGGTTGGAGATGCTCTAAGTTCAAACCACAAACTAACTAATTAAAACCACTACTGACTGAATATTTCCCTATATATATATATAACATATTAACTGCAAAAAGAACTTACTAGTGTACTAGTTTGGAGTATTTACTCCTCATGCAAGGTTTTGGGTTTGAGTTTTAGCATGTGTGTAGTGTGTGTGAGTTTAGTATATTATAGCCTCTCTCAATAGGAATGTCTTAATATCTTGACAACTTTCAATTATTACAGAGTCAGAGAGGCCAATAAGGTGAAGAGCCCAATCTACATCCGCAAAATCAATAGTCCGGTGGTGAATAGCCTTTGAACTCAGCTGAGAAGTGAGTGGTAAAAAGAATTTTTTACTAATGTAGCCAGTCCTACTAGCCTGTGAATCCTTTACCATGGGTTATTTGGGACTCAATTTTTTTAATTTTTCTATGAGAGGAGGAAGAGAAACAAAATGGAGAAGCATGAGAGAGGGGAGAGAGGTGTGCACGCATATAGAAACTAACGACAAAGGAGCTAGCCTATGTCCAAAACGGTGTGTTGGTGAAAAATGTATATAGTTATATACTGATGTGGCTTAATGAAAGAAAGGTGGAGGTGTTAGAGAATTTATAATGGGCTCCCTAAATCACCTCATTTGACAAATTTTAGGGAGGATTTGGAAAAATACAACTTCAACCATGCTCCCTATCCACTTTCTAAAATATGGAGACTTTTAGGAGCTCCTAAATATGATGAGAGAGAAAGGACTCCTAGTGGCTCCTTATAATTTAATGAGTATTTCAAATCTTTAATTAATGTTAATTAATTTTTATATTAATAGAGATTGACCAATTAAAAAAAGTTATAGTATTTATGACTCCCTAAACTAGAAAGCATGATTGGAGTTTAAATTTAATAGAAAGTTCATAAAATAACTTTTATATGTTTTTAGCTAAATTTTAACTAAAAAATAGAGAGCATGATTGTGGATGCTCTCTATTTTTTAGTTAAAATTTAGCTAAAGACACTAGAAAACTATTTTAGGAGCTCTCTATAAAATTTCAACTCCAACCATACTCCATAGTTTAAAGAGTCATAAATATTTTTAATATTTTTAATTCAATTTTTGAATAAAGTGTAGACACAAAAGCAACAATAAAAAGTAGTTGGCTTTAAATAAATGCTTAAAATAATATTAAATAAATAAACATTTAATTATAGGGAATCACTAGGATTCCTTTCTCTCTTATCGGATTTAAGAGCTCTTAAAGGTCTCCCTATTTTAGGAGTTGAATAGGGAGCATGGTTGGAGTGAGATTTTTTCAATTCTTTCCTAAATTTTAGCTAATGAGGTTGTTTAGGGAGCCCATTGAGAATGCTCAGATATCTTAATTAGGGATCCAAACTCCAAATCTGTCTATGCATTATGCATGCACCTACCCCTGTGGCCCATGTGTGTTACAATGGACGGAAAGTCATAATAATGCATGTGCAACAGTGCAAGTGTCAGTCTCCTATAGGTTAATGAATATCAAAGACCAAGTTTTAGAAGCGACATATTATGGCTCATATATATTGTGGTAGATTGAAAGGTGTAACATCACTTTTAAGGGTAAGGGTAATATGTACCACTCAATGAGGCAGCATATGTGGATGTACCATAGAAAACCAAATGGCACTGAATTATAAGATGTAGCTTCATGCAGGATAAATGATGGTGAGATCAAAATAAAAAATTAATACCTGCAGAATAAAAAGTGGCTGATCATGATCATCGCCAGCAGCAGGGTTCAGAATACGAGAATCCATAGCGGTGCAAACCAGTTGTGCAAAAGCTGAATTAGGATAAACCAAGTCTCCAATCTCATCCAAAGCATACTCACTAGAGGCCACCACGAAGCCTGCTCCGGCTGCATTGCAGTCGATCTCCAAGCGACTTGTGTTGGGGTTCAACTTCAATCTTCCTGCCAAGAAATCATAGGGCACCAATATCTGGGCAAGGGCATCCTGGACTTTTTCAGCTACAATTTGGGATTCAGGAAAATCTTTGTGTGCGCCAAAGAAATGAACGGTTTGGACATCGAAATTGAGAACTTGGTCTATGTTTGATAAGAAGACGGTTTTTTTCTGTGTTTGTTGGGATGGGAAAACCAGGCATGAGTGGTGGACAGTGACCTTGAGATCTTGGAGGAGAGTGAGTTGATCATGGACACTTCCCATGTTTCACTTAATTAGTATTGCCTTTGGCCTTGTAGAATTGTGATCATATTTATAGATATGATTTCGCACCAAATAATTAAAGATGTTTAAGAGCTGATGACAAATAATAATGTGAAATAATTTGCACGATGTTCACAACCAACATAATTAATTATGGTTGAATAAGTATGACGATTTTGCAGGCCCTTTAATGATAGACTGCAGCTAGACATGACTTGTAAATCATAATCTTCAAATGCTAAACAAACAGTATTTAGATTTTAGACACAACTTAAACGACAAGACATTGTAATAGTGATGTGTGATCCATTTGATTTGGGATCGATGCGTCATAAATTGATCATACAAAAGGTCAAGCAATTGACAAATTGAGTAAGAGCAAACTTAAACTTGTCGTTATAAAATTACTACAAATGAAGTGATGATCATCCCACACCCACATTGCGTAACATTAATTTCCTTGTTTAGACAATAATGTAGTCGAGTCGATATCAATAATCAATAGTCGTGGTTCCAACAAATCACAATCAAAGACGGGGATGGGAAAATTGGGAATGGACCGGCAGGCCTTTGCTCAACGTATAAAACCCTAAACTTTAAACTTTATATAAAAGCGGGAGCTGTCCGCATTAACTTCCGTAACCACTTTCATCAGCTAATTAATTAATATTGCTTTTCACTTTGTTGTTTGATGTGTATAGTAAAATCACCATCCATCATGAATACTGTTCTTCATGCATCGCCGTTTTGAAATTTTAATTATTTGTACACATATTTCCATAGAATTTATTGGCAGTAGCTGTTCTAGGTGATGCGTCCATCTTTTGCGTGTCGATCAAGAGAGCCATCATCCAACTCAAGCACGTGAATATACAACAAAAAGTATCATCTGCGACATTGACAATTTCACATCTCACGACTCATGACTCATGTATGTATACTTGTAACTTGCCTCGCCTTGCCTCTACAAACATGGACAACCATCCGATTGTCCATGACGTTGCGTCTATGTGTGGACTGTATATGTTTGATATCAGGCCCGTCGGTCAGAATTCAAAATTTATATCATATCATACGATCAAGGCTGTCTGTTTTATTATTTATGCATGCTTGATAGGCTTCAAAAGCTCCACATATGCGAGAGAGAACAAAATAATAAAGCATCCTTCCATCTTCCTTATCCGCCTGCACTATCACCATGAGGCCCCCCATATGCATGGGTTGCCCTTTAGCGCTTTATCTAGCACATACAATCATCTTACCCACCCACCTCGCTCTAAAAAAATCTTAAGTCTCATTTGGTTCATGAGAAAAGAGGCTTGTGAATGGAAAATCAATTATTTTCTCATATTTGGTAAGTAGGGAGAAAGTGAAGCCATCCTCCCCCCTTGAGTTTTGTTTTCCCTTATCGTGGGAAAGTTTGAGAAAATGAGCCAGCATTAAATGTACATTTTTCATGATCATTTTATCCTCATTAACAATTTTATCCCTAAAATACATGGGTTGGAAAAAAATTTTGGACTCAAAATTGAAAATTTGGGCTTCCACCCCTTGGGTTGGAGATGACCTAAGAAGTACTTTTGTTGACCTATCTTATATATAAGCGTTTTTGTTGAAAATAATTTTATTGTAAATATGTTCAAATTTTTATTAAAAGTCTAAGTGTAAATCTTGAAAAACGATGTTAGAAACGAGTTTGATTATATGAAATTATACTGGTTTTAGTATTTCTATAAACAGTTCTAAACATGTAGTTTTTATTATTATATAAATTCTAGGATTTCATTCCTAATTCAGCCACAAAAGGCCATTACAATAATGAAGCGATTTGATATCAAAATAAAGACAATTTGATGTGCCTCCACTAAACAATTAGTTATATATATATATATATAAATTTTGGAATTACATTCATAATTCAAAAAAAAAAAAAAAAAAAAAAAAAAAAAAAAAAAAACACACCAGTCACAGGGCTCACAAAGGGCAAGGGAGGCTAATAAACCAATAAAAAGCGATCTAACATAAAAATTAAGATAATCTGGGGATCATTCACTAACGAGCACATATGATCGAAGAAACTTTAGCATAGGCATCTCAACTAAGAGTGCAAACTCATAATAACCAATAATAGATAAGCTTGAAAAAACTAAAACCATAACAATACAAATAAAACTTTTACAACGGATATATGAAAAGCTCTCACAAATAAGGATAGGTGAAAAACTCTCACAAAAGGATAGATGAAAGCTACACAAAAAAATTCAAAGAGTCTCTGCGACTTATTCCAAACAAAAAGAAATCGCAAAAATGATTGTGGTAGAGATCTGACACCGAAATGCATATGGAGATATGGAGTCGAGATGCATCCGCCTATGATTAGTGGAGGAAATTCATTACAAAATAAAGACATATAAGGAAAACCCAATGTCTCTAAAAATTGGGGGAAATAGGAGAAGATACGTACGAAGGGAGAATGAGAGAGGGGAGGAACAACAGTGGCTTCCTCCTTCCTGAAAGTGGAAACGGTTGTAGAATGGTTTTTGTGAGAGAGAGGACTAAAGTTTTTGCGTTATTACTCTAGTATAGACTTTGTATTTTATTTATTTATTACTAACATGTAGTTCTAAACATGTCATAATAATAATAATAATAATTATTATTTTTTTATCGAACATAATAATTACTTATTGTTATTTAGTTCAATCGATATATAATTTATAAACATCGTGACATTGATTGACTCATGTTTAGATTTGCAAACTACCATATTAGATAGACATATGATATGATATAAGATAACGATCGAAGTAGCAATGTATAAGCAATGTATGAATAAATATTTATTCATATATATATATATAATGTTAAATTATATTTTGTGGACCTTAATTGCTATATTTAGATATATGTGTACATCAAATTTATTGAGAAAGGGACCATTTGGGTTCCCAGTAGTAGAGGCAAAAGGGTCATCAGCAGTTCAATTACAACTACTCCGCATAACAGAGACAAAATATATATATGTATATATCATGAGGCTGAGCTTAAAGCTTCCGATTTCTATCACAAAACCAGCTAAGTTTTTCGGTGTTAATGCCAATATGAATATGATCTATATTCTACACAGTAGTACACTATTCCACCATTAAACAGAAGCAACGATCAATTGAAGCATCCATGTGAAGCTTGACTTTGCTATATACTAATACAACGACACAAGTACCATGTGATTTGACATTTCGTAGCGGAAAAGCAAGCCATGGCAAATGGCAGACAAAGTGACAAGTGAGACGAATTCCATCTTGTAATTGTTTAGAACCGACATTTCAATTATTCCCATTTTTGACTTCTTTTTTGACTTTTTATGAGCTGGAAGCGACAACACAACTACACCGAATCAACACAAACAAGACAGGAACGCGAGACCCCCATCAAATCACCACTTGCCATTTATTTATTAACATAATATATATGTAATGTGTCACATAGAAATTACAATTCGGGATTTAATATCTGAAAAATCTGGAATTTAATTGATTAGGAAATAGTTAGACCAGTTATTATCTCCTTTATTCCCTTATGTGGTTTATATTAATTCCTCCCATTCCAAATAACCAGCGGAAAGACGTTCTCTGATCACTACACAAGGCCCACTTCGGATCAGATGACAAGGGCCTTCTTACATTTCTTTAACGGGCTTATATCAAATCCTATACATGGATGGGGCTCGCAACCCCTTGGCCCTTATTATTTTTGGGCTGAAAAATGCTCCATATTGCAGCCAACCCCAAAACACACGACACACAAAATTAACATCGAAGCAAAACACTTTTTTCTTGTGTGTACTTTTTCCCTTTAAAAAATTGCAACTAGTCTAGGGGCTCAACACAACATGATGAAGGTGGAAAAGCCATAACCCAAAAAAAGAAAAGAAAAGAAAAGAAAAAAATGAAGGCACAAGTGTCATCCAGTCGGATTGAATGCAAGCTCAGCCACCCAAACCACCACGCGGCGACAAACAACTCCTTCAAAGGGAAAAGCGAGCTAACGGCTTCAAACGACCAACACCTAAGAAAGAAGCTTTTGTTATTTATTTTTTCTATATTTCTATCTGTTCTGTAATAAAGAAAGAAGGAGAGATGCTGAGCAGAACAACAGCCATAGCAGCTTCTCTTTCAGTCTCTGCTGGTTCTGCAAACCCATCAAAATCAAACTATTCTCGATTGTTGGGGCTCAACAACAATCTCTCCTACACTGCTTCAAACCCTGTAATTGTATCATCCAACTCCAACTTTGCGAGCTTCGCATGGAACACCAGCAACAACAGTAAGTATAAAAAGTCAAGAATGGAGAGGTTCACAACCAGGGCATCGGCGCAGCCCCTCACGAATGCTGATGAGCTCATAGACTCTGTCCAGACTTTCATCTTCGACTGCGATGGTGAGCCCTGCCCACCTCGTCCTTCAACTCCAAACTCGTTATTTTATGCTTAGATTGATATTGATTAAATTTGATATCGGAGGCCTGAAAGTGTGATCATTTCAAGTAACTCCAAAAACTGAGTGTCAAGTACTAACCGTGTGTGCATTTCTTTTTTGTTTTTTTGTTTGTTTAGAGGTGATAATTTTGTTGGTTAATGTTTGAGATGAGGTGTTTCCTGCGTGGTGATCTTAATCTATCTGTTAGGCTTAGGGTCTTAAAATATGAAACGCAATTGTATTGATTTGATTTCCTGTGCATTTATCTGAATCTGATATCCATTTTGTACGGTTACCTCTTTAAAGGAAAATTCAATATATTCAGAACAAATTGTCGTGTTTGTGGGATGTTGCTTACCCAATTTATAAATATTGCTAATTGGGTGACATAAATTTGAGGGGGAACTAGGATTACTCAATCATGTTCCATTAAAATTTGAATAATGTCTCAGACAATCTCATAATGTTCATTATGTTTTGGATGTAATGCTCCATTACTAATGTTTGAACTCATCACCAAACAACTGCAGGAGTTATATGGAAAGGAGATAAGCTCATAGATGGCGTGCCACAAACTCTTGATCTGCTACGGTCTAAGGTCTCTGTGTGAATGCGGTCATGTATTTGTACTAGTTTTGTACACATTCATTGACAAGCAAAATCATTCTACTTCATACATTATATTTAACTATTTCTTTACCCTTACTCTTGGATCCAAATGTAGCATAATTTTATCTTCTTTGTCAGCAAAAAGACAGGGACATAATTTTAAGAGACAAGCATTGTTATGTGGCCTCAAACCACTTGCATATTGTCTTTTCCTTCAGGGCAAAAGATTAGTTTTCGTTACCAACAACTCAACAAAGTCTAGGAAGCAATATGGTAAAAAGTTCGAGACACTTGGTCTGAATGTCAATGAGGTCAGTCTGACAGTGTGCCACTTTTTTCTTTCCATGTTCACAGATTTCAGCACGTCAGTAATTCTAATCACACTTTAAAAATTTCAGGAGGAAATTTTTGCATCATCTTTTGCTGCTGCTGCCTATTTGAAGTCCATTAATTTCCCTAAAGATAAAAAGGTAACTGTGCGCCTGGTTGGTAAAAATAAAATGAAAGCTGAAAATTTTGTTTCAATTCCCTTTGCCTAAAAGTGGGATTTTCGTAGAAGGGGAATGGTTTGCATTTGGTACCTCATGATTAGCACTAAATGAATTAACGGGTGCATGTTAATCATGAATTTAGATGATAATTGATTGATGATCGAGCCTTTTATAGGTTTATGTGATTGGTGAGGAAGGTATCTTGAAGGAGCTTGAGCTAGCTGGATATCAATATCTTGGTGGACCAGTAAGTATGAGTCCGAAATCATATGAGTTTCAGTACATGATGATGTTACTTGTACTTTTTCTATTTTATATCCTAGTCTGTGAAATCGAATGACATGTTATTCATTTGGCTAACAAGAGCATTGCACAAAACTTAGTGTCATTATTTCCCTTGCATTTGTATCTTCAGTTTCATTTTAAATTTAGGATAAAGCTTAAAAGCTTACCTATAGTTTAAAAGATCTTCAGGCACTCTGTCCATAATATGTACATATCCTTCTAAATAGCAAATTGTTTATAGAGAGACATAATGAGGTCTACATCTTCTTTGGATGTAAAAGTAAATATTTGGAAACTGAAAGTTGCTCTGGTAATTATTTAGTATGAATGTTGAGGTAGTGGATGAAGTAAAGGAGGATAGCCTGCCTGCCCCTCTCCCGGGACCATGCAGTTTGCTCCAGAAAATCTAATTGTTTTCTCTCCCCCAACCAAACAATAATTTTTTTGAAAACATAATCTTTTTGTGTGTGCATGCATCTGTGTGTTCGTGTGCCTAAGGCTCTAAACTATCAGGAAAAGTTAGGTAGTTACAATTGTTTATAATTAGTAGTTTGAGGGATGGACCGGGCTAAAGTTGTTTACAATTCTTTTTATTCATTAATATGCCCCTGTTATATTACATGTGATTAGAAGTATTTTTTTAAATGCTTTCCTTTTCTTACAGGAAGACGGTGGGAAGAAGATAGATCTGAAGCCTGGATTTCTGATGGAGCATGATGAGAATGTATACTTCTGTCCTTTCTTGCTTCATACAACTTTGTTTATTATTGGGGTTGTACTGATAGAAATAAAAGTAGAACTTTCTCTCAATAGAGCTTTTGCATTCCTTTTTGGAACCTTAAACTGACCATACACATGTGAGGTTCTTTCTTTCTTTCTTCTTCTTAAAAAAAGAAAAAAAAACATCAACTTTTAATATTGCTAGATCTGTTTGTTCTTTGTCTTCTAGGTTGGAGCTGTTGTGGTTGGGTTTGACCGAAATTTCAACTACTACAAAATTCAGTAAGTTATGGTGATTCTTGTTTATGTCAATGCATGTGTGTTGAACACACTGCAAATTATTTTTGTTGCAAGGTACTGTACTTTCCTTTATAATTAAAATTTGAAGAATCACTGCTGCTTCAAGTACCTTCTGTTTTAGATTCTTCTTGCCTCAGAAATTATTAGGGCTTCGGTTTAATATTTAAACGTCTGAAGGTTTGGATTGAAAAAGAGATGCCACATAACTGCCACAATTCACTATATTTTTTTATTTATTTTTCTATGGACTGTACTTGTGCTCAAATTCAGGTGTATATGCAAACATTGTGTTACAAAGTGTTAAATGGAAGGTAATATACATGTTACTATACCAAGTGCCAAAACACTATAAACATTATGGTCTTATTATATATGCAGTGCACTTGTTACATGTATTGCATTTGGTCTTCTCTGGTGGCAATTATCATAAATCAATGTTTATGTGATGGAAGGTATGGGACACTTTGTATACGTGAAAACCCTGGATGTCTTTTCATTGCAACAAATCGGGATGCTGTCACTCATCTCACAGATGCTCAGGAATGGGCAGGTAAGGTTCATTTCCTTCCTCTCTTGTTGCACTTTATGTTTTAATTAGATTATTTTCAACTGCGTTATGCTGTAAAACGTGTAAAGATTTTCCTAATTGGATTTTGTTTAAAATTCAAAAGTCATTTGTTAGGGGTGGTGATTTTCACACTCCTATTTGTACACTTGGCACTCACATTTATATATGCTTTCATCTTCTTGTTTCTGTTCAATATATCAAAGCATAAAATAAGGGAGAGGAGATAGGATTGTGAAAATGGCCACCTTTTATTCATAAAAAAAAAAAAAAAAAAAAAAAAAAAAAAAAAAAAAAAATTTATTAAATTCATTAATAATCAGTTAATAACTGAATCAGATTATCTATGTTGCTATTTACTGATGCATGGGTTAGTGGTTCCAAATGACTTGATTATATGAGACCTAAACTTCTAAAGTTGACTGGGAAATTTTGAATTTCTGGACCTGAAAATACCTAGCCAAACAGGTTGTTACCGAACTGATGAAGCTACTATAATTTTCTCTCAATAGCTACTATAATTTATACTCAACTTCAGGTGGTGGTTCTATGGTTGGCGCTATCCGTGGATCTACTCAACGTGAGCCGCTGGTTGTGGGAAAACCCTCAACATTTATGATGGACTACTTAGCAAATGAGTAAGTCAAATGCTTTATTTTTTGTTCTTCTTTGTTTTATCTTAATTCTTAAGTAACATGAGTGCTGTTATCTTGAAAGACCATATTCTGATAAGAGTTTTTATGTTATATAACACCAAGGCATTCTCTTAATGTGGATATCATAGTGTGATTCATATAATGCGCCTTATATTTGCTTTATAAGAGAAATATAACCTTTGTGTACCAAGTATTATATGTACCACAATATCTATAATTCGAGATGCATTGTAAGAGATATAAATGAGTATTGCATTGTAAGACATATAATGCACCTACTAATGCTGATGAATGAAGACAGCGATTGATTTGCTTTGTAAGCACAAGACTACTTGTGATAACGAAACCATTGAAGTGCTAACAAATTGTAGTGTTAGTCCATCCAAGACTTGCAAAAATGAAATTAAAACTGTGCACAGAGTACACAAGTGTGTGTGTGCCCGCACATTTACTCTCAGAGAGAGAGAGAGAGAGAGAGAGAGAGAGAGAGAGAGAGAGAGAGATCAATGGTGTCTTACATTATTTTCTTTTATAATACTGTAGATTAATTCTTTAGTTATTGAAATTAAATTGCTCTATTTGGTTTTCTGACAAACATTAGAGGAGTTTCATCATTGACTCATCTTTTTAATCACTCACTATGCTTAGCAACCATCTAGATTATATCACCTGTTGTAAAGGTTAAAAGACACTCAAAGGCTAAAAGACAACTTTGACCAATGAGGTAAACATCAATAATTTTGTAAATACAAGAACGCAATTATTGTGACAGAATGTACAATTTTCGTGATGTAATTTTGCTTTCTAATTAGTAGCTGACATGTATTAAGTCGCAGAACACTTGACATCTTAAAGAAGTGAACTTAAATGGATCTGATGAAAACATACTGGTCATATAATTGCTGATATTAGTCAGTTGAATTTAATCAATGACAGATTTGGCATCCTGAAGTCACAGATTTGCATGGTTGGGGACAGATTAGATACTGATATTCTGTTTGGACAAAATGGTGGTTGCAAAACTCTTCTTGTTCTCTCAGGTAACTAAACTAAAGTCTGCATTTTTGGCCCAAGTTTTCTTGAGTTTGTGATGTATTTGAGCTAATTAAGGCTTTTCGTTTCTGTCTAATAGGTGTCACCACTTTATCAGTGCTTCAGAGTCCTAACAACTCCGTACAACCAGATTTTTACACGAACAAGATTTCAGACTTTTTGTCTCTCAAGGCTACAACTGTATGATTATTATGTTACCCCTAAAATCAATCTTGGGCGCATCTCTCATTATTTGTCTCTGCCAGTCATAACTTTTATATTATTAATGTCCATGTAATTTTTTTTATGGATGTAGGTTTCTGAAACAAAAAGAAACAGAGTACATTAATAAATAAAAGTTATGCCCTTGAGATCTCTATGCAATTGTTAAACTTGTTGCTAATGTATTCCTGCATCTTCTTCTTGGCAACCAGACCAGCACATAGCTGCAGCCATCCGTATCTCTGAATTTCTTCTTTTCCTTCTCTTTCTTCTGTGTGATTGGCTATTGCGCTTGGATAGGTAGAGCTAGCTAAGGATGTGTTGTTCATTTCATGTCCCAAAAATCTCTCGGTCTAACCATAGTGGAGCCTGTTATTTGTCTAAGTTGTGAAAATTGAAAATAGTATTTTACTATAAAATTATTTATTAGATTCCATACAAATCGATAGCGGAATATGTGATGTTCATTCTGTTTGAGGCTTTTTGTCTTCCAAAAGAGACAAGTCCTCATTTGATAACCACACCATTTCACCCAAATATAATTGGTAATCGTTGATTGAGATCATGTTTTTTTTTCTTCTCTTTTTTTAAGTTGAATGAATGATATTGGATTCGTATTCAATACAGAGTACATAAACAAAAGTTCCATTACCATAATTAGGAAAAAAAGGTAAAAAAGAAGGTAATAGTTCCTTATATATATATATATTTTTATAACTACCATGGATGGTTTTTAAAGAAAACGTACCATTACATAAGAAAAAACATTCAATTCCAGTAACACATTTATATCAATAAAGAAAAAACATATTTTCTTATTCGGATAGTGCAATGTTCGAAAAATCGTTAGGTGGTAGGCGGGAGATAGGGGCCTAGCGCCTAGAGGAGTAATCGAGGCCTAAGTGGGTGTCTATTCCTTTTTTTTTTATACAAATTTATAAATAAACCCAATCCTAGACATGTATTTATAAAAAAACCCAAGCACTATTTAAACATAGAAACACACCCAAAATCAACCCAAAAGTCAACTTTTTGGGTGTGTTTATAAATGGGTTTTGAGTGTGTATAATGATGGATTTTGGGTGTGTTTATATGTTTAAATAGTACTTGGGTTTTTTTATAATTTCAACCCCCATTTTGGGTGTTTTAGTAAAACTCCCTTTTTTTTATTATAAATAATTATTTTGTATTATAAATTATAAATTATAAATTATAAATTAAAACCAAAATAATGTAAAATAAAAGGATTTATTAAAAAAAGGGCATAAACAATTAGAGAGAGAGAGAGAGGGTGGCAGGTCGTGGTGGGTGGGCGAGGAGAAACACTTACATAAAATGGGGGTAATACTATTTTGCTATTCTCGACTAATCATGATATGCCACATGTGATAATTTTTTCACGTAATAGACTGTAATTAACCAGAAATAACAAAACAGTGTTATTTTTGTTTCATACAAGTTTTTCTAATTGGCGAGGGGTCGTGAAAAACCTAAGTTTTCTTTGAAGTCGGAAAAAAATCTAAAAAAAAGGGAACCCGACCCGCCCAGACCCACCTAAATCCCGCCTAGCGCCAAGGTCGGCCCATTTTTCGAACCCAAATTTTTTTTTTTCCTATTCACATTTATTTCTCCCCCTACCCCCCATCTTTTGTTTTTTGATCGAATACCCTACCCCCCATCTCAGTCATCATGAAAAGCAACATTTTCCTCTCTTTCTTCCTCTCTCCATTTCCTCAGAATCTTCCCTCCTCCTCTAATTTACGTACTTGCCATTCCCTCTATTTCTCTCTTTCCTCCAATCCCAACCTCAGCCCTCTTTAGTTCAATGCAATTAGGATTGGTTCCCAATTAGGGTTTTGATCCTCTTCACCAGAAAACCCACGAAATGGAATCAGACGACGAGTTCGACATGCTCGACGCCAATGATGACGACGACAATGACGAGGATTTCTATAGTGGCGGCGACGACGACGCAGCCGCCGCTATGGACAGCGACGAAGCTGGAGTTGCCGATTACGAGTTCATCGACAACGACTCCGACGATTCCAATGATGTCGCCTCACATCGATACCAGGTGGCTTTCTGCTTATTTTATTTTTAATTATGACAGTTTCAGCTCTTTTATTTTCTTATTCTAGTTTCTATAAAATGATTTTGGTTATCTGAATTTTCTTCATTCTGATTCTGGGTTGTGAAAGTCGAGCCTTTTTAGTTGTGAAATGCTAATTTCGCTTAATTTTGGTGTTGGGTTTGATGACAAATTTTCTTACTTTTTCCCCGTGTTGCGGTAATGTTAATGCTGCGGATTTTGATCTTAGGTTTGGTTTTATTGATTTATCAGAAATGTGAATTTAGTTTGTGTATTGTGCTAATGTTTATCGCGTTTGATCTTGATATTTGGTTTAGTTGAGGTTATAAAAAATCTGAGCCTTTGCTTATATCATGGTAATGTTAATTCTGCTATAATTTTTAGATTAGTTTAATGGGATAATGTTAATCGTTCTTGATTTTGACATTTGGGTTAATTTGGCTAGTGTAACAAAGGAAGGATTTGCATAGGTGCTGATATTCTTAACAAAAAAGTGATTTACATGGGTTATGGTTTAATTATTTCTGATTGGTTTTTACTTATTGTCTCTTGATTTATTATAGTCTTAGTCTTTTGTTGGTTGATAATTTCAATTCTGTTTAGAAGCAATTTGGTATTTATTTAATTAGTAGCTGGCCATGGTTGAATTAATTGGTTTTTGTCACCTTTGTGACTCCTTTTAAAGGTTGTTCATTGTTCTGTTGAACCCATCGATTTGGTAGCCTGTCTCTTGAAACACTTGGCTCTGGAAAAGTAGATATTGAAAATCTGAGCCATATTGCATTATGCAATGACTTCGACTTATTGTTGAGTCTAAAGATGAGAAAATTTTGTCAGTTATAGATGCATACTAATTGAGCCTTGCAGGCATGGTAAATTGTGTTTGTTAGTGGTTTTCTCCATGGGGATTCCAAGTTTTGCGTATTCTGAAAGAACTTTATTTTGTTGTGATTTCCTTGCTTTCCTTTTTCTTTTTTGTAATTCCATTATATATCATTGTTTACTAAGACTATGTATGCATCTTAATGTTACGACTTTTGGATGAGTGTATGTGGAGACAGAAAATAAGAATGAATATATATATATATATTTGACTGTTTAACTCTATTGAATTACTCAAACACGCTTTGATGCTTGTCTATACACCCAAAATAAGTTTATCAGTTTGGCTTTGGTCTATTATTGTTGTTGTAATTTCTTTGCTTTCTTGTTGCAGCAAAACTACACCGTTTTGACAGAAGCTGACATTCGTCAGCATCAAGAGGAGGATATTATGAGGATATCTACAGTGCTTTCCATTTCAAAGGTTTCAGCTAGCATACTGCTCCGCTACTATAGTTGGTAAAATGCTGTCTCCAGTCTGGTGTATTTTTTATTTAGCTTTACATTTTTCTGTCCAAATGGACTGCCTTTACTTTTAGTGCTGGATATCTGGGTTACTGCGAACTAAATTTAGTTTGTCAGATCATTTCCATCAGACCTTACCCAATTTGTTTACCATACATTTATTTGATAAGCTTTATGCCATGGTGCTTTATTTGTAAGAATCTATACTTCCTTTGTACTCACAGGAGTGTCAGTAAAGTACATGATGAGTGGTTTGCAGATGAAGAAAAGGTTCGCAGGGCTGTTGGCTTGCCGGAGAAAACCAGTTGTGGATTACCCTAATGCTCAAGAAGTAAACAGCCTATGCTTTAGGATCTCATCAAGTTCTAGCATTTTTTGCTTGATAGTTGGGCATGTTGACTACTTTTTTTTGGTGTTTTAATGCTCCAAACAGGAATATATTGCTAAAATATTTTTATAACATGTTGTTTTTTGACAGCATAACTGTGGGATTTGTTTTGAAACCTATCCTCGTGATAAGATGCATGCTGCAGCTTGTGGCCATCCTTTTTGTTCCTCATGCTGGGCAGGTTTGGTACAACTTTCATAGTGTTCGTTTTTCTTCCATGGGAAATCTGAACTTTCAGTAGTGTTGCGTGATTTTTTCACATTTCTATTATTACCAGGGATGAATGTTGTATAAGAAAAATATGTCGGTAATTTGGTCAAACTGTTGTCTCAAGAGTCCTCCATACATGTGCACCTCACCTATTTGTTCAAGGTCAGTGTCAATGGCATTACTATGGCCGCCCTTAAAAGGAAAGACTGGTGGCAAATGACCTCTCTTCTTGTCATAATTTAGTGGGTCTTTTGTTGCCAAAATATTATTATTTTCCCATAATAAACAGTATTTTGTAGGAACTATATTTTATATAAATTATGTATGTATACATGATATGAATGTCAATAGTGCAAAGTTGCGTTATTTGTATTATAGCTCTATTTTCTTCTACTTACTACTGAGACAAGTTTTATATGTGGTTTTACGTCTGTCATTTTATATCCCGGAATTTAAATTTTTGAAATTTTGAACTTTCTATCTTTCTTCATTTTGTTATTGTGTATCCAAATGAGTTTTGAGTTTGATCTTACATTCTTTTATCATTTTCTTATTCCCTTCAAGGTTATATTAGCACAGCCATTAATGATGGCCCTGGCTGTTTGATGTTGCGCTGTCCGGATCCATCTTGTGGTGCCGTTGTTTGCCAAGATATGATTAATGCTTTGGCTTCCGCTGAAGACAAGGAGAAATATTCTCGCTACTTTATTAGATCTTATGTTGAAGACAATAGGAAGGTAATCTTTAAGTTGGAACTTTGACAAGTGTTTTTCTTCTCCCAAAAAATGCAAAAATGTTTAATTATTTACGACAACTGTTGTTGGCGAGTTGACCAATTAGCGTTAGTTGAGCTGATAAAAGATTGCTTTATTGCTGATTAAAAACCCTGCTGGAGTTCTATGGTTATTATTATTTTTTCAATATAAAACACCATTACTGACTCAACTACTAGATACCAAACCTTTTGATTGTCCTGTACAACATCATCATTACCTTCGTACTGTATTACTTTGTGGATTCTAAGTGGGGTTCCAAACTTATAGTTTGCATTGGAGTATTCTTTTAACAAGCCTTAATTTCAACATTTTGCTGACTCTTGTTGTTCATGCTGTTTCTTTGTAGACCAAATGGTGTCCTGCTCCAGGCTGTGATTATGCTATAGATTTCATTGTTGGTGGTGGAAGCTATGATGTTACCTGCCGCTGTTCATATAGCTTTTGCTGGAATGTGAGTTTCTTCAAATTCTTCACAGATAGTGTTTATCTTTACTGAATATAAATTTTGAAGGGAACTGCATATCTGTGCATGTTGCATGCACACGGGACACAGGATGTGTTGTTAAAATAATACACACACACACACACACATATATATATATATATGTTCTTCCTTCCTATTCTTATTTTATGCTTTGTTTGGTTTTCATATCACCCCTTAAATATTTTAGAATTGCACTTGGATATGTATAAATTTCTTTTTTATAAATTTTTTTTTCAAAAAAAGAAAAGAAGAAACAACCATGTAACTTATGAAAATTATCCTTGGATCCCCTTTTCTTTTATCGAAAAGGAAAATTACTTGGTACTCGTGTTTGAAAATTTTGGACTATCCTTGCTTCATTGGTGCTCATGGCATTTACATCATATGAATTTTACCTTGCAGTGTACTGAGGAAGCTCACCGTCCGGTTGATTGCGGTACTGTGGCAAAATGGATATTAAAGAATAGTGCCGAATCTGAAAATATGAATTGGTATGCAATACGTTAGTGATTGGTGACAAAATAAACTTATAAAGTTTGAGAACAGTGATCACATTTGAACATTGGACTCCTCCTTGGGCCATAGGATGATGGGACAATAATCTATGTACTGATGTAAAGTGGTGTGTGGTGAAAGCATGGCCCAGTACCTGCCTCGATAATTGTGTGGCCTTTCTACCCTTGCCCACATGGATATGCCTTTTGATCATATTACAGCATAAAAATCTTATTAGCTAGATAGTACACAAATATGTGGTACAAAAGTTGGTGTGGAATGGTCACCTTGACGTGGACTTTATTAGTTGGGAACTAAGTTCTAGATGATTCCCAAAATATTGAAGAGAGTAAAATATCTCAACGTTTGGTTCGTAAAGCTTATAATAAGGACAAAGTCATGCTTATATTTCAGTTCCTATTACAAATATTTTGAAGGGTATAACCACAAAGAGAGATGGGTATCCTGGGTTACAACAGGGATGGATTGAAAGAAGACTAATCTTCTAGATTCCCCTTGTTTTGCATGATCTCACAAATACTTCATGTATACGTACATGTATCCATTCCCAAGAGCTTTAAAATCTTAAGGGGCCTATATCTCTCTTGTGCACATGCCGACAATCGGTCTGGTTATTTACAGTCGTGTAAATGCCTTAAATACATTATGATAAACAGTGGCTCACAAAATGTTTTGTTGCCTGTATTGATTTTAGGCCAAAAATGCTAAGTTAAAATGTTGATGGATTTCAGGATATTGGCTAATTCTAAGCCGTGCCCAAAGTGCAAGCGACCGATTGAGAAAAACCAAGGCTGTATGCATATCACTTGCACACCACCTTGTAAATTTGAGTTTTGCTGGTAAGCTTTTTAGCTATACTACCTGTTGTTTTTGATTTCTTGTGCATCATAATGAAATGTGATTTATTACCTTTACGTTTGTTTCTAGTCTTTTAGGTAGTCATAACTTGTTTTGTCAAAGCTGGATTTCATGTTGTCATGCATCTTGTGTGAACAATATCTGCTCAAAACCCCCCCAAAAAAAAAATCTTTCTGGAACATTTTGATACAAGTTGTAGATGATTTCAGGCTTTGCCTCGGTGCATGGTCGGATCATGGTGAAAGGACAGGTGGATTTTATGCATGTAATCGTTATGAGACAGCAAAGCAGGAAGGAGTGGTATGTTAATGTAGTTTCCATCTCTATTTTGATGGTTGAGTATTTTCTCAAGCTACTATTTCAGTATGTGGCATGTTATATAATTATTATTTTGTTGTTATTTACAGTATGATGAGACAGAGAAACGAAGAGAGATGGCCAAGAACTCTCTAGAGAGGTACACTCATTATTATGAAAGATGGGCAACCAATCAATCGGTATGTACAAGTTTGTCAAAAATATAGTAAAACTGATTCAGTTCTTGTCGTTGTGCTTGAAACGATAGGTTTTTCCGAAGTTCCATGTTTGCTCATGTTTGTAATGTTTGTTAATTATCTAAATGGCATCTTTCTAAATTAAGTCATTTAGGTTGTGCTTAACTTATTTAGCTATATTTTACCTTTGTAGTAAATAATTATACATAATGTGTGTCTCTGTGGCGCTTGTGCAGAAGACAATTATTTTTTATTTTTTATTATTTTTTAATTTATGTTGTGGTCCTCATTATGAAAGATAGGCGACAAATCTGTTGACAAACCGTTCATTGTGCTTGATGCTATCAGTTTGCTTAAGTCGGCTATCTTTTATAAAATGTCTTGTTGCTTTTGGTTGACTTGCGTACACTTCACTTGGTAATAAATAATCTTGTAAGGGTGTGTCTGCACGGATATACCTGTTAAAAAGAAATTAATGCTTTAGCCCCTTGTATAATTTTAAATACATGTTTTCCATTTTAATCTGTGAGACTTCTAAAGTATTTTAAGTTAGAACCTAAAATATTCCCTTTTTTTCCCCATCACTACAGTCCAGGCAAAAAGCACTTGCAGACTTGCAGCAGATGCAAACTGTGCATGTAAGTAAAACCTTTTACTATCAGGGCTTTCTTGGTTAGTGATGCTGGTATAGCTGATTGATGTGGCTATCAATTGTGGTGAATGTGTTCCTGGGCCTATGTGTAGCATAGTGCATTTAATAAATGTACAATTTTCTCCTTTCTTTCCTACTAGTTGGCATTCTGCTTTTTAAGTTATCTATAGTTTCGATTTTGTGTCAATGTAGCTTGAGAAGCTGAGCGACATCCAGTGCCAACCTGAGTCACAGCTGAAGTTCATTACAGAGGCCTGGCTACAGGTACACCACAAGTTCACTTTTCTACTGAGAGCCAATTGCTTCTTCTTATTTGATTTTCTCCATATACAGATAGTTGAATTAGGCGAGTACTAAAATGGACTTATGCCTATGGATATTATTTACCTGAGCATGAACATGCCAAGAGACAGTTCTTTGAGTACTTGCAAGGTATGTCATTTTCTCAGGCTTGAAGATAGACATTGCATGTTGTTGATTTATCCTAATTAATCTATTTCTGCAGGTGAAGCTGAGTCTGGGTTGGAACGACTTCATCAATGTGCAGAAAAGGAGCTACAAGTTTACCTCAATGAAGAGGACCCATCGAAAGATTTCAATGAGTTTCGCACAAAACTTGCTGGATTGACCAGGTTATTTTGAACTAAAGATTTTACCTTCTATATTTCTCATTGGATAAGTTGACTACTGCTGGGAGGTAGTGGCTTGGGTCAAAGGGAAGGGTGGTTATTTGTTGTTATTATTATTTTTGTGTGTGTGTGTGGGGTTTTGGCGGTGGGGGTTGTTGGCAACTTGGTAAAGCGAAGCAAGGCAAGTCAGATTGTCCACATTATTCTTTGACTTTTTAAGATTTCAAAAGCAAGTACGATCTTGCGGAAGCCTTTGCTCAACGTCATGTATCAGAGAGTTTTTTGTTTTTATTTTTTTAGATTATCAAACTCATTTTCAAATATTTTTTACTTTACATGTTGACCGACTTGGGATGATATAGCTTTTCAACTTATTGATTTATGGTTCAAATTCAATGAAAACAGTGTGACTCGGAACTACTTCGAAAATTTAGTTCGAGCTCTGGAGAATGGTCTATCAGATGTGGACTCCCATGGTGCCTGCAGCAGGACAGCAAGCTCAAAGAATTTGGGAGGCACAAGCAACAAGGGAAGAGGTGGGAGGGGCAAGGCAACAACATCGAGGTCAAGTAGTTCCAGTAGAAATATTGATGATTTAGGCCACTGGTCCTGTGAACACTGCACCTTCGCAAATGTCAAGTCGGCTACGGTGTGCCAGATGTGTCAACAACGCCGATAACTTATTTTTCCTATGCAAATTGACCTACTTGGATGTCGAGGCCTTGGTTTTGCCTCTGGCTGGCAGGTTTCTGTGGATAAGCACCCTAACGGTTTGCTAGGGAGGGAAAAATTTCGACTGGTTACTTTATCTTTGGAATTATAGGAGCGAGGACAATGCAGAAAATAAGAAGGGTGGGAGGAAGGAGTAATACTCTGCCCGTCTTGTTTATTGGAACATGAGCTGTATATAGTTCCTACTGTTTGTCTAGCTTTCGGTGGCTGTCTTTGATTCATGCAAATGCCTTCATCTGTAATTTTCTTGTCAGTATCAGTTGCTGATAAACTTGTAGCAAGTTTGAAGCTTTAAAGTGGGTTGTAAGAGTATACTAGTTGGGGACAAGAAACTGAATTGGCCCCTGCACAAATGAAATAAATATGTACAATTTATCTTTCTTTTTCTCATCTTGAATACCAAAAAGGAAAAAAAGAAAAAGAAAAATCCCTTCTGGCTTTGATCGCTTCTCAATAATTTCCTTTTTCAGTAGGGTGAGAAAACTCTGCTTTTTCTTTGCACCAGCGTTCGGCAATTAGCAAGGGCTTCCTTGATTAGATTGCTCTTATGCAGGGGGGTGTGCTCCTGTTTCTCTTTCTTGATTTTTAAAATGAAAAGAAAAAAAAAAAAAAAAAAACAACCCAAAAACCAAAATGACACACGTCTGGCCACTAGCTAGCTTTGTAGAAAGAGAAAAGGTGGAAGGTACGATAATTCTAAATATCAAACAAGATTGTGTTTAGGTCTTCATGTTTTAGGAGTTTATTTCTTTATTTATTTATGAGAATTTAGGAGTTTATTTCAATGTAAATAAATTCAAAAGGGAGAAAGAGACACAGAGAGAGAGAGGATAAATCTCATAAAACTGTAGAGATCAAGATACAAACACCTCCTCATGACATGAGTAGCGAGATACAGACACCTGAAAGGATACTGCAGGTTTAGTGAATATAAACCAACTACCCCCCCTCTCCAAGCAGGTTTTCACAACTCATCAACTCCTTAAATTACAGGAAAGGAACGGAAAAAAATTTACATACTTAATTGGTCCCAGACTCTGAAGCTCTGGATGAAACTCACTCTTGAATTTTCTGCAATATATACAGGTCTAAAACAAGGAGGGGAGAGAGAGAGAGAGTGTGTGTTCGATTGTGTATGCGTCCCACAGCCACTTCAAACTTACAGAATAGATCAGTAACAATTGTGTTCCTGGAGCTTAATTTTTAGTGCCCGAGATGAGATGGATTTGGATTTCTTGGGTTTTTCAGAGTGGCTCACAAGTGAACCATCAGACTCCACTAGGTTAGGCTGGGAATATCAACACTAGATGATACCAACCAACCACTGAGTTGCTGCAGCATATTGTCGGCAAACTGATTTCGGCCTCCTCTCCACTTTCTGCATTTCAAAAAAATCATACTATGCTTTTGAAATAACTATCATAAAAGTTCCAGTTTAAATTGACAATATGGATGCAAAGACGCAGGTCTTCTACAACTGCATAGAGCTATATTGTATTACACAACAAACACAACTTCCTTACTTCAGTTTTGTAAATTAACATGCTAGGGGGCTAGGGCTGCCTGCTCTCCCAACATCAATTTCTTAATTCTTAGGAGTTGCTTTGCCTTCTTAAATGCAACACAACCAATTCATCACCAAATCCAAACTCACTTCAAATATTATCTGCCATAGCAGACCTCAAAGCATCACATCTTCCTGTTGTTTTGTTTGTTCATGTGAACCCAAGCCTGCAACAAGGAATGTTGATACAACTTGAAGAAATGTGAGCCCAATTTTGCACTCTGCAATGTGCATAGTATTATATACTCCTGGTTTTGTAGACAGTATAAGCCAACAGTAGTGGAATTGTGAGGCTATATCCTGGAAAATTGAGAATGGGATTCATCTCGTATGCTTTGATGAGAGCCCTGCAATTCTGTAATCCAAGGACAAAAGAAAGAAAGAAACCAAAGTAAACATACATGAGTAAAATGATGCAAACCATTTACAGAAAAAGATGAAACAAAACAAAAAATGCATCTCAATTTATTACCTAGTAGTCATTTCTCCAATACGGTTCCCAGGATGACAGAGGAAAGAAAATTTAGTTTGGAGACCTCGCAACGTTTCAGAATGGTGGTTGCAAGGTTCCAAACAATTTCTTGCCTCCATCATCTTAAGAAGTCGGGATGAGTATTCACATATGTACTTCACAAAATAAATGATGTGATTTAACAATTCGAATAATATAAGGGGGCATGAAAGGTCTAACAAATAAGCCTACCACCAAGGGTAGGAGAGGTCCCTCTGTAACTTGAGAGAAAGCAATGAGGGTTAATGACTACAGTCAAATACTTTAGATAGAATGTACCACGATCCCGTTCCCATGACCTACATGTATTTCAAGCAGAAATAGATCGGTGAAAGGAACCTTACCATAAAGTGCTTCCAACAAACTGCCAAGCAAAGAACCAAAAGGACTTTTCGAATCCACCGGTTTCCAACACAGGAATTTGATTTCCTACTCCCTTGGTAATCATACCTTTCCTCTTGATCATAGTCATCTTCTTTCTTCCCCGTAAGTGAGAGAAAGTTTTCCCTGGAGATCTGTTTTTCAGTAGCCAAAGCCCCAGTCAGCAAAATAGCAGGAAAAACCACGAAGAAGAGATGTGGAAGAACAACCACCATTATATCTGGAGATCCGGCATATTCATGTTTTCCCTTTTGATTGAAAGATTTAACTACCCACCCCATATAGGTCATGTATCCTTTATCCTTGCCGTCCGTGAAAACTTTCCCAAAAAACCAGGGGAATAATATAAGGTAGAATAAGTATCCTAAAAAACCAAACCAGGTGAAGGGAACCCTGCAAAGCTCCTGTAAAAAAAATCCTATGCCATTTAGGAAGCCCTTATTCTTGTAAGTGAAATGCCTAATTGAGAAAATGAGGAGAGCTTTTGGAATAAGGAGAATGGAGAGTATAAAGTATACAGCACACCAGAACATTGGGTAATACAAGGCAGCCCATTGACAACCCATGACCATAAACTCCTTCCATGTCCATGAAAGCATAGTACTAAGACCATTTATAGAAAACGGCCTTAAATCAGTTGAAGTCGATCTGCCCATGAAGTCAGTTGCTTCTATTTGCAGCCAATATCTATTTGGAATTGGATCCTCAAAGGCTCTATAATTCCATGGAGCAACATAAAGATCTCCCCTGGAGGTGTTATCCACAAGCTTTCTCATGGGTGCCTCAAATACCAGATTGAGATATCCAGGTCTTGAGTCATAGATCCTAGTCATAACCGACACAATTGGAGAAACAGAAAATACCAGGGCTCTTACTGTCTCGTAAGATACCATAGCAAGACATTCATACTTGTGATGGGATGAAGATGTTGACATGAACCTTGAGTCCAGGGGAAAAGTTGGCAATATGATAGTCTTTTTGGTGCCTGACATGAAGTCAATGTCAACATACGAAACATGACCTCTATCAATGGCCAAAATTCTCATGGCTCTGCTCTTCCTCCAGTCACCCATCTCCCACTCCCAGAATTCTCTAGCCGCTGGGGTTTCAATTGAACAATTAGCAGTACCATGAAAAGATAATTGGTGTACATTTAGCTGGAAAAATTTCCGCAAGGATAAAAAATGACGACTAAACTGATGATGCCGCTTCAAGTTTTTACCAAACCGTGTATGCAGATGCCCACATATATAAGCTGATATGGAATGATTGAGGAAGATATCTTTTAGGCTCTTCCCAGAGTATGAGATTGCTGAGAATGAAAGAGGAAAATGCCCAAAGGAAATCTTGCTTAATGGTTTTTCTGATTGAGAATCCCACTGTGAGAGCTCCATATCCAGTTCTGCTAATAGTTGATCAGTTGGATGCCCAAAAAGATTAGTGGGACCTCGTAGACCAACAGAGATTGTGCTATCAACTCCAACAAATAGATGTTTCCGCTCACCAGTCTGGAGGGAGAGAAAAGTGTAAAATTAGGGAAATTATGAAAAGCTTTTGAATTAACAAACACTCAATGGAATGCCAGCATCTGTAGTCAAAAATTGGGAAATGGGAATGTACAATTAAAGTTCAACTCAATGTTAGGTTACACAACTTAAAGTTCAGTTATTGAAACTTTAGAACTGTTTGGGATTTTCTTGAAAGGAATAACTCACCTGAAGTGTGACACTATTGACATTCCCAGTTCTGCCCAATTGCCCATTAATGCTGTACTTTGAAAAGAAATCAAAGGAACCACCAAGCACCGGTACGCCAAAGTTATCGTGATTCCCTCTAAGATCAAAGAAGATACTCCTGTCAAGTCCCTCCTTTTTTCCTTTTTTTTTTTTTTTTTTTTTTTTTTTTTTTTTTTTTTTTTTTTTTTTTTTTTTTTTTTTTTTTTTTTTTTTTTTTTTTTTTTTTTTTTTTTTTTTTTTTTTTTTTTTTTTTTTTTTTTTTTTTTTTTTTTTTTTTTTTTTTTTTTTTTTTTTTTTTTTTTTTTTTTTTTTTTTTTTTTTTTTTTTTTTTTTTTTTTTTTTTTTTTTTTTTTTTTTTTTTTTTTTTTTTTTTTTTTTTTTTTTTTTTTTTTTTTTTTTTTTTTTTTTTTTTTTTTTTTTTTTTTTTTTTTTTTTTTTTTTTTTTTTTTTTTTTTTTTTTTTTTTTTTTTTTTTTTTTTTTTTTTTTTTTTTTTTTTTTTTTTTTTTTTTTTTTTTTTTTTTTTTTTTTAAGAGACAACCCCCCTTATAAAAATTTCGTCCCCGAAATTTCATAACTGCCACTCCAAAGGGTGTGGGTGTTGGGCCCGCATCTACTACTCGGGTTTCCATGCTTCATCCTCCACAACCAGGTTGGCAGCTAAGCCATTAGCTCTATCCAAACAAGCAGAAGAAGAGAAGTCTCTTTCTTCCACTAAGAATATCCTTCAATAGCTGCGGTAATGCTTAATCTTCCT